GCTATATCTATTACTTGTAGGCACATTTTTTATTAGAAAAGCCACACAGTGAATTCAAATCCCTGTAGAACTGGAACTATAGGTGACACAGTTATTTTAAGCACATGAGATCCTACATTGTGATCCTGAACACATTTTATATGATTAATGCTTGTCACTTGAAAATACTGCAGACTTCCAAACTTGCTTTCCTGTCAGTTTTGGACAGGATTCTGAAGGTACTGGAGCCTCTTCCAGCATCCCAACTGTACTTGCTGTACAGTCAGACTCAGCAGGAGCCTTTCAGCATGATCAACAACATTAAGTGCCCAAGACTCAAGTTTATCTTGGATCTGAAGTACCACCAGGGCACAGATTTAAATGATGTTCCTGACACTTTTGTATTCAGTATAACTGGAGTCTTTGGACATGTTTCAATGCTATAGGAGGACAAATAACTATCTATGTTAAAAAAAAAGGGAAAGGGAGCAGTTACACAATGCTTCCAACTCTTTGGAGGTAACTTTCTCCCCATTCCTTAAGCCCAGCTCGTTTGCCAAATAGTGCATCAGTCTCCAAAGTTGATTAGTCTTTTAAGAAGCCAAATATAAGGTTGCAGAACCCCTGCAAAGGAAGGGCCTAATTGCAATGCATTTCAACACCATTAACTAGCTGATGTATTTCTGCATTGAGTAAAGAAAAACAAAGTGATGGGAGTATCTCTTGTAAAGCACAGCAGAAACTTCCACTTCCTTAAGACTGCTGCAAAATAAGCACTAAATCCAAATTCTCTGGTCAACATGGAAACAGTTTCCTAAATCACTGTTTCTCACTGAATTTATCTTACTTGGTTCCATAAACCAAAACATGCCTGTACAGTCAATATGAACTGAACAGCTGTGTTTCTGTAATTCACATCACAACTAAACATCCCAAGTGGTAGCTGACAACAGAGGTTAAATGTTGCTTGAAATTCTTTGCCAATTGGGTCAACAAAAGCCTCCAAATGAGTTATCCCTGATGACTTTTAGTAGGGATAATGTCTGGTTTGTTACTAGATTTCCTTGCTGCTTCTCCCAGCCAAGAAGGCTCTGTAACTACCTGAACAAGATGTACCTGAAAGCAGTTTGATACTCATAATTCTTTTTTGATGCTATAATGAAAGACTAGATCTGCTGCAGTACCTAGAGACAGATACTGGTTAAATGTGTCCTCAACACACAATAGTTGCAGAATTCTGACAGGGCTTCTACAGCTGCTCATGTTTGAACCTTTGTGATGAACACTCACAACAACAAAGTGTGATTGCTCAGACAGTTGTAAGAGGAATGAAAACAGAAGAGGAAACAAGATTGTATCTCATGTCATGAACTCAAACATGTATCCCATGAAGTCAAAACATTTTCAGCTTTAGTTTTGTAAGGTGCTCAAAACTCCTCTCTAATCCTTAGTTTGTTCTTTCCACCTACTAGTCTCAAACAGGAAATAAAAGCAAGGTCTAAAATAAATTTCAAAGTTAATCTGCTTAAAATTTTGGGTCTGTGTATCTTACTGGAGCTTCACACAACCCCTGCATTTGGGCAGGTTTTGATTCATTTATACTACTATAGCAAACTACCAAGTCCTCAGACAAGGGAATGATTTTAAGACTGGTAGAAAACAGATTTTGAGTCTGTCACTTCAATCAAGTGTATTAATCTCAGTACTGTCATTAAACCATTCAAGGAAAATTCCCTTGTACACACCAGCCTCCTTACCACAATGGCTAACACCTTCCAACAGCCCCTGAACTCTCTACACAGTGACAGACATTCCCCTGGGCAGACACATGCAAGGGATTTCTTTGGATTCCTGCCTTCAAACACAGAGGTGCTGCACTGGAGGGAGGAGAATAAAAGGAAAAAAAAAAATCAACCCACACACCAGTCAGAAAATCACCAGATCAAAACAAACTGACTCCAGAGGAAAGACAACAAGATTTGATGAAGTTCATTCCAAAGGCTGTCGCTGTTAACGGGGAAATTTAAACAAAAGCACTCTTCCCACAGAACATCTTACAATTCCATACCAGTATTGACACTCAAAACGTGGTGGTGGAGGGGGGAGTGTAAGGGGAAAGAGAGAGATCATGGAGAGCCCAATTTTTTAGAAGGACAGGATGAGACACAGCTGATCTTTATCAGCAGGATCTTTTCTGGTCAGAGCTGCAGTAGAGCCTGGGTGACACCTGAGACAGGAAGCTGCACTGACACCTACACACACTCCTGGGTACCAAGCAAAGTGTGTCCTCCCCTAAGCAAAGCAGCCCACAAGACACTTGAAAAGCAAAAAGAAAGACAGCAAAAGAAACAAAAAAGGTCCAGCTACTTCCTACTGCCCTTCCTTCTACCCATTTGAAGATCTGAGCTCAGTAATGTTGCTACTCTGAGGCTCAGCTTTTAAACACCCTCCTTACCTGTGAGACCAACTGCACAAACAGTTTCACCAGTTACTTTTGTGGGTGCACTGCACACAGATGTGTAACACTGGAACTAATTCATGGAGAGATCTACAACCCAAATTAGTACGTTAACCACCTTCAAAACCTAGGAGACTTGTAATTGTACCTGAGTATTTAAAAAAAATTAAATTAAAAACCGTGTAGTTGCATAATAATTAGAAGTTGCAATTTAAAGGTAGTGTATAAGAAAAGAGTGTTGTCCCTTTAGCAAAAGCATCTATAGTGTAATTTATTCACTGTTAGCTTAGATAAACAATAAAAAATGGGTCCAGATCTTACAGATGAACACGTGAGCTTCACAAGTGCTGAGAACACTCCTACGTGTCCTAAGGCAGCTCAGGAGCTTCACTAAGGCTGCAGTCATGTTTATTGCCACATTTAGCTGCCACACACGAAGAATCCTCAAGTGATCTATTCAGATAATTTCATTTTATTCATGAATAAATCACATCTGCTTTATTCAGTTTCTTACCCTATTGTTGGGTTGATGTTGGGATCAAAGCTATCTTCTACAAATCTCCACACGATACTTGATTTGCCCACACCAGTGTCCTAAAAAAAGAACAGAAACACTTGAAAGTGACATTAGTTACTATAAACAGATGATATTTTGTCCTCAGATCTTGCAGTACATCGTGATAATATATTTCTGCCGAGAATCTCAGAGAAATTAGATGATGAAATACTTCAAGTATTATATTCATTTGGTAGAAAAAGGAAAGGCCTGCGACAAGTCACAGTTTTCTAAATGAAATTGCTGTGACTTTTCATGAAGGACTATAAAAATCTGCATTCACACTTATTATTTATTACTCAAACTTTTCTTTTCCAAAGTTATGCACAACTTGCAATTGAACAGCAGCAGGGAAAGACCACTATTAGTAAAATACACAGCAACTGAGTATGGCTTGGCAGGATGGAGGACCAATGGAGCACATGGAATTATACAAGTGTGACACATGCATTTAACCTCTGACTAATGCTGTCCCACCCTGCTTAATGAAAGACTTGAAATTTCTTCTGTGACACACCTGAAACATGTTACTAATGCAACTCTACAAATGGTAGGAGAGGAAACATAACATGAAAATTCTGGGTCGTGCATGTTTTTGCACCACTGATTCCATGGTTAAAAAAATAGATATATAGAAGTCATACCTAGAACTGAAATAACTCAGTAAACTCTTCTCAGTAGATGGACATTTTAAATTGTAATGTAATTAATACATTTGAAGACCAACTTCTTGTTTTATGTCTCCACAGTCATCAAAATTTTAATGAAAAAAAACCCTGAGGAAGTGCTTCACTGAAAATGAAGTTGTACATTATTCGTATGGTTTTTTGAATCTTCTGAATACTGCAGTAAATTTGGGTGCAGTATGTATGACTCTGTTTATCCTGTCAAGCTGTTTTCCTCTCGAGGAAAAGCATATTATCCCAGTTCTTCTAAAAACCAACATTTTATATTGTTTGCAGTCTTATTAAGCAGAGCAAACCTTAAACAGAGAAATACAGATGTGGCTCCTGGCTCTGGGAGTTCAAGGATCAGTTTTCCTGGGCACTTATTCTCGTCTTCTTACGTGACAAAAGGCTTCTCAGGTCGGGTGGACACAAACAGCAGTTACCCCAAATACCTTCGTAACACGAAGGGCACACAAACACATAATTTTCCCCTCTGAAGGTCAATGTGGCCATTTAGAAGCAGAAAACTCTTGCCCTACTCTGTTCAACACAGGGTTTCGATGCAGGTGGTGGCACCTCCACCTGCCCAACGAGAGGCTCCCTGACTAAACCAAGCCCAAATTCACAGCCTTGAATTCTTTAAATATCTGCTTCAGTTCGCACCACGACTCCTTCTTCCCCCATCTGCAAGGCTTCCAAGCTTCCGTATGTCCTTAAAATAAAAGTTCAGGCCCCTCCCTCTCTCCCACCACTTTGATTTCAGGTGCTTCTATTTACCTTTCGAGCTCCAAGCCCGGAACAGCTTGTGAGGAAGAGGGAAGCACACGCTGGATGTTCGTGCTTCCTCTCTTATTTTTAAAAGGAGAATATAGGGGGAAAAGAGACCGATATTGACGGCTGGCAAACGCCTCCCCTGAGGGGAAGGCCCGCTCCCCTCAGAGGGACGGGGCGAGGGGCACCCTCCGCCCGGGGAGCGGATCCCCGCGGCTGGAGCCTCTCCGGGCTCTGACAGAGGCTCCTCACCATCATCGCGGAGGCTCTCCGGGCTCTGACAGAGCCTCTCCCTCCCGCTCCCACCCTCCCTTCCGCCGCCCCACACTTACCCCCAGAAGGCAAACTTTGAGCTCCCTCAGCGCCATGGCCGGGCGGGCTGCGCCTTCAGCGAGCGCCTGAGACGCGGCCCAGCTCGATCATCGCGGCCGCCCCGCGCCCGCCCCGGTTACCCGCGCCCCGCGCTCCTCCTCAGGCTGCGCGGCCGCGCCGCCATCTTGGGCGGCCGCCGGAATCCCCGCCCGCGCCCCCCGCCCCACTCTTCTTCTCCTCAGGCGCTGAGGGGCCGCTCGACCCCCGGCAGCCGCGGCTCGTTCAACCCGGTGGCGTTTCGGGGCTGACCCGGCGGCAGGAAGCGCCGGCGGCTCCTCCCTGTGCCCTCCCGCTCCTCCTCCTCCTCGCCCATGTCCATTCCAAGATGGCCGGTAAGTGGGGCCGGCGGGCGGGCGGCTCAGCCGGGGCTGCCCCGTCCCTCCGAAACCAACCCCCCTGGTATCTCTCTTCTGTTTTTCGTTTGTAGGGATCCCTTTGTATTTTGTGGATTTGCAGGATGACTTAGATGATTGTGAGTAACTGTTTTTTTTAATTTTCCGCTCCCCGTTCAGGCCCCCGCTCCTGCCCCGGGGTCCTCCTGCTGCTCTCTTTCCCTCTCCGCATTTCCACCCAGGTGAGGGCGAGGGGAGGATGTTGAGGCAGTTCTGGCAGGCGAAGGTGTACAGGGCGTTGGGACCATCCCCGCTGGTTCCAGGGGCCGCTGGGCTCGGTGTAAAGAGCGGCTCCGGCAGCTCCGCGATGAGCCTGGAAAGGCGCACGGGTGGCTCGGGGGAGCAGCCCGGCTCCTGTGGTCGGTGGGAATTAGAGAATTGACTTTCCAAGGCTGTAGAGGCTGCTGAGGACGCGTGTTCCGCTGTTCTGCATCCCCGGGATGTGCTGCGAGTGCACCTCGGGATAAAGGGAACAATCGCCGTGTGTGCTGCGGTTGGGTCGCACAAAGCCGTGGTTTTGGGCTCAGTACCCTGTCGAGGGTCCCAGGTCAGGGAACAGCTCCATCCCAAGCCGGTGTAGTCCAGGGCTGTGTTACAGAAGAGTCCGACACCTGTCAGACCTGAGCACAGCTTGGTAAGCGCTGTGATTGAAGGAGATAAAGCCTTGACTAACAATGATACCAACTTGTACGGCTTTAGAAAGCAGCTCTCTTTGTGGGGTGGTTTCATTGGCACTTCGGATGCTGGATTGACTTTTCTATTAAAAGGAAATGAAGAATGATAGCTGTGTGTGTTTCTTGTGAGAAACTGTATTTGTTTATCACAAGACCGTTATTGTTTAACAGTGCTTGAAAACGTGTAACAGATTTATTAAGACGATGGTCTTCAGAACACCAGGGGAAATGCTGGGATACAAGTGGGATCCCAAGTCTTCCATTGGGAAGATGTGCAGGGACGTTGCCTCTGTGGGAGGAGGTGGCTCTGTGGCATTCTGTTAGTTGTTGCTCTCAGTCTTTGAGGTTTAAAGTGCAAACAGCAGAAATAAATTCAAACTTAGTAGTGGCTCTGTTATGGGTATTGGCCTTGGACCAGGGGTGCCCATCCCTAGAAGTGTTTGTTCTGTATTAGTACTCAGTCTTTGGCTGTTTTGTTGAGACTGTGACACATTTGTCTGGTAAATTGATTAAAAAGTCTGATGCTTCTAAGGCAAAACTCCAGTTAATAAAAATGTCCAGATAAAGAAGTTTTTGCCATAAGTGGTAATTAATAAGAGAAATTATCGTTTTCAGCATGAGCATATAAATAAATGTGCCTTTTAGAGCATTATTAAAGTCTTATTTTATGATTTAAAAGACTCTTTGATTAAGTTCATTAATTTGGTAACGCAGTTAGAATTATGGAATCAAAAGCTGTTGTCTCTGTGTTGTAGCAGAGTTCAGGGGTCCCATCTGAGATGTTGTTGTGCTAATCAGTGACTTAGATTAGCAAAGAGTTCATGATGTGTTTTAGGGAAACCTCAGTGAAATAAAGTCCAGTTCCAGTGATTTTACTTTCTTAACTAAATTGGTGAAAGTGTCATGCACACTGAAGATTGAGACAGAGTCTGGAGGATCACTCTGAATGTAGCAAAAGGCTGTAGTAAAATCTGCCTAAATTCAAGTGCAGTTTGAAACTTATTTTCTCTAAGATGAGATAATGGATCATCTGGAAAAATAATTAGCTTATTTATGCCCTTTGATCATTTAAAAAGAAAGTATTTAAAGAATTTGTTTTTCCTTCTACAAACACCAGGAGGGAAAATGACCTCCTTGAGCTCATTAAATCGTTGCACTCTGCACTGGTATTTACTGGTTTGTGTTGTGAAATGTGAACAGTGGCACTGGGAGATGACATCGGGTTGCACCCTTAGATCCTGTGACCCTGAGTTTCTTACAGGCTCTAAGCAGCTTTTGAGTCTGGGGCAAAGTGAGACACAGTGAACAGAGTTCAGCTCTGGATACTGGCACATTTATTCCTCCTCAGTGGTGGACAGATTTCAAGCTTACTTGTTCAATATAGTTAAGTGGAAAAGAAACAATGTTAGATTTACCTGTGAAAGAACGTTAGACAGGAAATGCTAGTTCATTATTTGTGATTTACTTCATAGTACTCTGGTGTATTCTGAAACCTGTAAGTACCTATGGCTTTTTTTTTTTATGGAAAAGGAAAAAATTCCTGAGAGAAGACAAAATGGATTCTGCCATGATTATTCCTTACTTGTGTGTAGTGAGAGTGTGTGGAAAAAATTTCAGGTATTTAACTCTCCATCTTGAGCATAAGTAACAGTGCTCTGTTTTCTCTCTACCCTTGGAAGCACTGGTATGTGCTTAGGTAATTTAAATGAATAATAGAGCTACTTCACGTAGTTAAATTAAACATGTTCATTATGTTTACAAAACTAGTCCCAGGTGTGGTATAGTAGTCAAAGTTAGAATTGGGATTTATTTCATTGTCATTTGAATTGGTAGAAATTCTGAAATATTTGAAGTGAACTAATAAAAGCCTTCATTTTAAAGTGTTTCACATTGGGGACAGGTGGGAGCCAGGTGGAGTTAATGACAAGTATATTGCTCCTAATTGTTTTCTTGAGCCCTAATAAATCTTTCTTTGTATAGCAGGTGACTAGGCTCAAAAATTAGCTAGTGAGTGTTCAGTCTGTGTACGTTTTAAAATACATTTGTTATAACTGTAGCTATAGGGATGGTGAGAATCGGGTGTGGATGTGGAGGGTTTGTTGCAACCTCAGAAAGGAAATCTGCGATCCCACAGACACTGTGTAACTTCCCCTGAGCTGTCACAGAGGTTTCTTTTGAAGCAGCAAATCTGGATGTTGAGGTGCTGTGATTGGGGAAGTCCTGGAGCAGATCGATCCCAGACGGATCCGTGCACTGCAAATTGTTTCCACTGGTGCACAGAAATGTTTTGAACCCGAGAGATCCTTCTTTAAGGAGCAGTGGGGTGGAAATAAGGATGTCAGTGCAATACATCATCACCATACAAAGCCATGAATAATTAGCAGCTGTTTCTGGTCATGTAGCTGTGGGTTCACTTGTAGTGCCTGTGTGAACATTTGGGATTTGAACACTTATTCTAAGCCCACAGTTTTCTGCTGTTTGAACCCCACTGAGCTTGTTGAGCACGTTGTCTGCACGAGCAGCAGAATTTGGAATTGCTCTGGTCTTTAACTCACCTGGGTTCTGTGGAGACCTTAAACCAATCTGATTTTTATTTTTTTCCCCCCTGAGGACCCAGGTATAACATTTTACTCCAAGTATGTTCAGATAATTTCCTCTCTAAATGAGCCTTATTTCTGAGGATGTTTTGACTCAAATAGTTGGAGAGTTTTATATATGAAATAAGAATTTTTCTGTTGGAAAAATAGAGGATTTTTTTAACAATAAAAGTGATTTATAATGGGTATTACTGTAGTTTAGAGCCAAAGAATTTGGCTTGTTGTCTTCAGTGGTTGTCACTCTCAGCACATGTGCTGGTTTGCAATACTTCATGCATGTGAGAAGCTGTGTTGTCACAATTTGCATTGATTTAAGTATGATCACAGTTGCTCTGTTTGTGTGAAAGAAGTGTGCATAGTTCTAGGAGGGCTTGGTTGGGACAACTGTGAACCCAGAGCAGGAATATCTGCTACTCCAGTGCCACTCTTTCCATGGAGTTGGTTGCTGTACATGTTCCTGTATCCATGGCTGAAATGAGAGCACTGGTGTGATGCCAGCATGTTATTTCACTGTCTCTGTTTTAAGGATGAAGGATTAAAATAAGTCTGACAGCAAAGTTATCCCATTCCATTTCCTTCTCACAGTTTTACCTTCTGCCTGTAATCTGTATTTGTTACTGGATTAGGTGACTCTTGGACTTAGTGAGGCAAATTTAATACTTGGGTAAAAGTCTAAAGCTACAAATACAAAAAAGGTTTAGAACAGAGTATGCTTATGTGGAAAAGTCTGTAGTTGGTGGATCTGCAGCAGGAAGCTCCCAGCATATTCCCAACTATGGTGAGGGTGAAGTTTTTCCCAAAGCTCCTGGTCTGATTTAAATATGTACAACTCAGTAACTACAGTGAGAAAAATGTCCCCTGGGAAGTTGGAAAAAGACATAAGAATTTGCTGTTTTAAAGCAATACAGTTTGAGAGTTGCTACAACTGTTAAAATTTCAGTTCCTTTTAATGGGACTTATTTTCCCTTTGAATTTGTGGGTCAGTTTGTGGCAATTGTGTGAGCTGAGCCCTCTTAACTTGAAATGGTTACTGCACTCAAAGGGCAAAGTCAAGTGTGTTTAAAGCCAAGGATTTTGACAGTTGAATTAAATATCAAAGCTTGAATGTACAGGGCTATGTGCAAGTGTTGCACTCGGCTTCATTAGATACAATTTAAGATTTTTTGGTTTTGGAAAGCTGTTTGCAGTGATGTTCAAAGACTCTTGAGGAAATAGTTATTGCTATCATGTATTCCACTGTAACATCTCTTGCTGACTCTTGGTTTTTGTTTTTTTTTTGTCTGTTACTTTTTTTGTCTTTCAAGTTGGATTTGAAGATTATGGGCCAGACTGTGATAGCATGAGGATAACAGCATTCCTGGATATCCCTGGACAGGATAACTTAACTCCACTGGCTCGTCTAGAAAAATATGCCTTCAGTGATAATGTCTTCAACAGGTAAGGGTGCAACAGCCACACCTGGTGATAAATGAGTGCACTGAGGATGTTAAGGTGTCACTGTGTCTTTTATTAATCTCCCAAACATGTGCATATTATTATTTCTATTTGAATAACTTTTGTATAACATTTCCATGAAAAGAGGTTTTCATTCTTGATTATCTGAATAAGTTCTCTTGATTCCATCTTGCTTTGGTTGGGATGTAGAATGGTCAGAGGCCCTTTTAAGGTGCCCATTTACACTGGATAAGTTCCCCTTGTGTCCCATCTACGTGTTTTTGGCTGGATATTATGGCAATTAATGTTGTTCACTCCACAGGCAAATTATTGCCAGAGGTCTTCTGGATGTCTTTCGAGATTTCAGTAACAATGAAGAAGACTTCCTGACTGTAATGGAAATAGTGGTCAGGCTCTCTGAAGATGCAGGTTTGAAAGCTTTGTTTTGCTTGGTTTTTTTTAATTTTTGTAGTGTATTTTACACAAACTGCAATATAGAAAGTACTGACATTCAGTTCTGAGAGGCAAAGAGTGAACTAAGGAAACTAAATCATCCAACAGCAATGTCTGTCAGTGAAAACAAGATCAGTTTTTCTCTGCTTTTGAAGTATGTTTTGTGGTAGATAAGATGTTAAATGAAAGGTTCTTACTTAGAATAGGACCTGAAGTGATATTTTTCAAGAAGTTTATTACATCTGACTGTGTGGTGTAGGTGGCACAGAGCAGCTGGGTGTTTCAATACCTCATGTGCATGCATTTGTGGTGACTGGGTTTTCCAGCTAGTGCTCTCATTTTATCTGATTTCTTTGGGAACTAATGCCAAGTCTCTGAACTGTGATGATGTATGTAAGGCTATTCCATTTTACTTAGTTTTCCTTGAACAGGCAATCTGTGATGCCCTTTCTATATTTTGATTATTTTCATTTTCCTCTATTGCAAAAACAAAAAGAAAAATGCTACTTTTTCCTTAAGGTACCTGATCTTAATTTCATACTTACTAATGTAGTTTTGCCTTTTATTTCTAGAGCCAACTGTACGTACAGAGCTGATGGAACAGATCCCTCCCATTGCCATTTTCCTGCAGGAAAGCAGACCAAATTTCCCAACAGCATTTTTTGAATACCTTATGCCCATAGTAGTGAGATACCTCACAGATGTTAACAATCAGGTAGGAAAAGCAGACAACATGAGTTGAGTTGTTGGAAAATTCTGTGTGGTTCAGTGCATTGGAGGCATGGGAAAGAGATAACAGGAAATTCCATGCTGGTTGACACCTGGCTTTGATGCAGTGCTCTGTTTACTGGTGTCAGCACATTTTTCTGTGAGGTCTGATTTATTTATTTTTTTTTAAAATACTTTCCTTGGCAGATAATGGGAAACTTATAGCATTGGCTCAGCAGCACAGGGATGGGGTCTGTTACAGGAGTCATAACTTGCAAATCCTGCTTTATGCTTCATCTTCTGGCTTCTCATCAGAATATGATGAAATGTCATCTAATGGTTATATTAAACTGTAGTCTTTATTACTAATTCCTCGTAGTCATAAAACTGAGAAGTTTTTTCTGGGTCTGCTTTGTTGTTTTTTTAACTTGTACCTGTGTGTTCATTGAAAAAATGTGGGGTTTTGTGGTTCTTGTGTCAGTAAATGTTGGTTTTACAGTGACAAACTGGTTTTGTTGTTCCTGTGTACAGGTCAGAAAGGCAGGTCAGGAGGCACTGCTGATCCTGCTGGAACAGGACCTTGTGGCTCAAAGTGACATTGAAAACAAGGTGTGTCCCATCCTGCTGGACCTCTCTGCCCCTGACAGTGATGATGAGTACAAGGTGGAGGCTGTGAATGTAAGTTTATAACATTAAATTATAATGGTAATTAAGATGAGGTCCAGGAATAATACTGCCATTAAATAAGCAATCAAACTTTTTATGTTTATTCTTTAAGGTATTTGGGTTTTTAGTTTAACACCACAACTCTTTAATTTTTGTTCTGAATTCTTGAAAATACAGAGAGACCACTTTTATACATCAGGATTCTAAATAATGTCAAAATGGTACCTGAATAACTTGAAAATACAATTGCTCCTTGGCAACCTTGTTTTAATTCTTCTTAAGATTGTTTTATTCCCCAGCAGCTTCTTTGCATTTGCTCCCCCAGGTTTCACAGTAATGCTGTAGATGTGTCAGTGATGACCTCTCTGAGTTCTGAAGTGTTATGAAAAAAACATTGCCTGGTGACTTTATGGAAATCAGTTGACTCCACAGAAAAGTGCTGGTGTGTAATTACATTTCAGCATGGATATCTGACACTTGACCTGCAAAATATTTTACCAGCTAGATTTTCCTCTTCCTTGTTTGGGAGTTGGGAATTGCTTAGGCAGTTTTCCAGGATGACATCTGAGCACCAGATGCCTTTTAGGAGTTGGAAAATTTGTAGAAAAGTCCTTGAATGGTGTTTTCCTTCGTTCTTATTAAGCATTCTGTTAAAAAGGCAAACATTTATTCTTAGAAAGGAATAAAGCTTATTTTTTATGGGGGTAGAAAGCTCTGACATCTTTTGAAAAATAAAAATAGATGAGTACTGTTAATCTGACAACACTTGTGTAAGCATTAAACTCCTGTTGCTGTGGGCAGAGCAGCTGAGTAGGAAGGTACATGGGAGCCCCTTGCTTTTTCCTGTTACAAATATAAGAATTACAGAAACTTACCCCAGAAATTTAGAACTGAAAGAAAACACAGAGTCCAAAGCACCTGATTTTTCACAGCAGAAACATGGTTTGTAATGCTGGTGAAAATGTTACTAACTTCCTTTAACTGTGCACTGTTAACTCCTGAAATTCCTGAGGATCAGTCCTGTACAGTGTGCATTAGCTCACATATATACCTAGTTTTTCCTACACTCCCTTTTCTCTCCTGTTGTATGGCAAACTTGTGTTTTATTTTGGTGTCTGAGCCTATAAAGAGCTGGGACTATGCACATTTTTAAGTATCTGAACAATCCTGCTAAAGCCCAATGTCTTCCTTGCATGCTGAAGTATGAGATATTTCTAATGTGCTTAAAATTGTGGGTTTTATAAGTGCAGTGGGATTTTTGTCTTCTCTGTACAAAATCCCAGTGTATGCCCCATTGTCAACACCTTGAAAACAAATACATTAATGGAAGTCTAACGAGATAAAAGACAATGAATTACATGCAGAAATGTTGTGTTGAGGCACAGTGGCATAGAATGATTTAAAATAAAAACCATAATTGTCTTTCACATGAAGCAGGTGTATGAAAACATGAATAATACGTAGCAGTTAAATCTATCTGACTTTTGCTGTCTTGCTCTCTGAGGTAATTTTTTGGAGGAATATTTGGCTGTGTGTACAAGCTTTATAATTTTCTTCTCCTTCCTCACGTCCCTTTCCTGGTTTTCAGATAATCTGTAAAATGGCCTCTATGTTGAGCAGAGCAACAGTTGAGCACATGCTGCTTCCTCGTTTCTGTGAACTGTGCAGTGATGGCAAATTGTTTCAAGTCCGAAAGGTTGGTGTGTTTCCAACTCTTAAGCTACCTAAAAATGAAAGTTGCATGTTGCTGTTCAAATCCCTTCCTAAATAATTTAGTCATTACTTTAGCTGATGAACTCTGAAAGCATCTGGAAGAGCAGTTTTTATTTATTGGCACGGTTATAGCTTCTGTGGTGCAGTAAAGAAATGGATAACAGACCTTGGTGAATAGCTTTGGTCCAGCAGTTAAACTGGTCTTGCACATTTAATAGTTTTGCACAACTTTTTTTTTTAAGCTGCTGTGAGTGGTTATAGGATGCAAACAAATTACCTCATCTCTACCATCTCATTTAAACCAGAAATTCAGAAATAACAGACATTTGAGACATCCTTCCTTTAATTTTTTTTTTTTAAATCTGTTGCTATTGAAAGGAGAAATCCCAGAAGTGTAATACTTTAATTCATGTTTGAGTACAAAAGGAAACTTGTAGCATAAGAAGTCTTAAAATATTTGAGTAGTTTTAAGGGTCACGCAGAGCTGCAGCTTGGTCTGTAACATAAGCTGCATTTGTTGGAATTTGAGCTGCATTATAGCCTTGTAAATAAGCACATAAAGTGAATAAAATGAGTATTAACACAGTCCTATCTTAATTGATTTCAGGTTTTGGCAACATCTTTTTAGAGCATGAGGGGATGTCCCTTTTGCCTTAATTATAGCTTCTCTAATGGCCTGGAAATGGCACTAACTTGAGCCCTTGATTAAACTTTGCCTCAGCAAAGTACTTAAGCCACCTTGAGCCAGGATAGTTCTGTCAGTACACCTAAGTCCTGACCCTGGTATCATGTGTTACCCTGCTTTGGGTTTGACAGCTGCTGCTCAAAGTAATTTAAACTTTCAAGCAGGCTTATTGTCCCTTCTGTGGTTACTGAGGTGGATGATGCTCTTCATGCAGAAACCTTTGTCACTATTGATTTCCAAGGCATGTGGTGTGTGGACACTGCGTGGAACAAGTCTTTGTTTGGGATGAGTTAATGTTACACACTGTAGTTACAGGGCTGAAATTTGAATAGTCCAAACACGTGCAGTTGTTTTGTGGGATAAATAATCCATGGGGAAGTTGATGATAATAAAACTAATGCCCTTGAAAGAGACACAGTGTTATTAATGGCTTTTTTATTTCTTAGATTTGTGCAGCTAATTTTGGTGACATTTGTAATGCGGTTGGGCAAGAAGCCACAGAAAGACTGCTGGTATGTAAAACCAAATCAATTTACAAGACCTGTATTTCTCAGTTCAAAAAGTTTAATAATGTGCTCTTTTATTGTCTTGTCTATAAATTATTTAACATGCATGCTTTTTTTTAATTGATTAGGTTAAGGCCTTGGTTGCAATTATATAGCAAAACTGGGAATGAAGAGAAATGCAAAGTTCTTGTTTTGCAAAACATGTTTAAAAATGTAATTGTCAGCAAATATATATATTTTTATATACATATATACACACTTTAGAATTACTGACTCACTCTTTTTTTTCCCAGAACTAGATAATCAATCAAGTCATGATTTCAGGAAAAATAGACCATTAATAATTTTCTATTCTTCCTTATTAGATATAATTATACATAAAATCCTAGTGGATTAAATGGGAGAGAGCTAGGGTTTTTTCCCAATTCCTTCAATTAGTATATGTATTTAACCTGTCCCTCTTTCTTCTGTTCTTCACTTTGTTCTCTCAAGTTGTGTTTGTGTCCAGTTTTCAGACAAACACCATGATATTGCTGCAGACTGTCTTTAGCCTTTAATTAGTCTTGGGTTTGCTTATTTTTGGCAGATTCCCAAGTTCTTTGAGCTCTGTTCTGACAGTGTCTGGGGGATGAGGAAAGCCTGTGCTGAGTGCTTCATGGCAGTGTCCTACACCACGTCCCCAGAGGTTCGCAGGAGCAAACTGTCCCCCCTGTTCATCAGCCTCATCAGTGACACCTGCAGATGGGTGAGTAACTCACCCTGGAATTGGTGCATCTTCCCAGACACATCCTGGGAAAGAATGGGCAAGTCAGAAGTGTGCTCTGGAAGTGCCCTGAGGAACATTTGCTGAGATTGGAGTCTAATGTACTAAAATCTAATCTTTTCTATTAAGATAGATCTTATTTTTCCTCTCTCATTACTTTTAAAGAACCCTGTTGATAGAAATTCTAACTGTAAATACATTTCTGAGAGAAGGTTGCTTGTGTTAAATACATTGAAGTAGACAGGGATGTCCTTCAAATTTGTAACTTTAAAAAGATTTCTGTACAGTGATTGTAGCTACATGATTGATATTCTAACACCCTTTGCTTAGGTGGCACTTATTTGGTACTTGGTTGTATTTTGTATTAAATGAAGCTGTTACAGTAAGAACCAATTGGTTCTTCCTAAAAAATTGCAGCAGATTTTCATTTTTCAACTCTGTGGGAGCTGATGAAGCCTGACTGTTCTTGCACCCCCCCAGGTTCGTCAGGCTGCTTTTCAGTCTCTTGGCCCATTTATTTCTACCTTTGCAAACCCTTCAAGTGCTGGGCTTTACATTCGAGAAGATGGGACACTGAGTATCCGACCACCAGCACAAGATGTGAATTCCAATTCCTGTCAGCCAAGCAACAATGTCACTTTAATGTCCTCCAGTGCAAATGCTGCATTGTCCAGGTAAATCGTGGGAAAAGGGGTGGTGTAATGGAAGGGATTAAAAGAACTTAATTGGTTTTGTTGCTTGTCAAGGCTAAAGATCTCAGCTTGAGAATATAGTTCTAGAAAAGAAGTGAGATCACACATTTGAGTGTAGCCAGTTTATTGAAAAATTCACTTTGCCTTCACCAGAGGGTAAAGGGAAAACTGGTGCAGTAAAGCATAGTGGTAGCATAAATTCTGTCTTTCTGTAGAGAAAAGCTTCTGTTGTTGCTGGTGTCTTTTATGAATTATTTTACTGAAAACCTGCTGTTACAGAGTATTTCAGTAAGTGTGTGTGTCTGTTACCAGCTCAGAACAACCAATGGAAATCAAACCAGAAGCACCAACTGAGGAGATTTCAGCAGAGGTGAACACAAAGCTCTCTGAGAACCTGCATAAAGACACACGGGAAGAAGGTTCAGATTGTTGTGCCAGTCCTGGAGAAGATGTGTCTTGCCTGTCTCAGGGTGCCAGAGCTGGTGCTGGTGTCCCTGAGGTGACCAAGGACAGCAGTATCCCTGGAATGCCCTCGAGGTCTGGTGAGGACGTGTTCAACACGTTCCTGTACTGGCGCCCTCCTCTGCCTGACATCACTCGGGAGCTGGAGCTGTTCCAGTTCAAGACTGAGAAGCACAACGAGAGCTGTTCCATGCCATGCAATAACTGTGTTGCTAGTAGTGAAATAAAAAAGGTTCTAGAAAGCTTACAAGAGCACATAGATGATCCAGATGTTCAAGGTGAGACTCTGTAGTAGTAAAATCGTGTTTTCTCTGAGCGGGTTTTCTCCTGGCCTTTACAAAACCCCTGACTGCTTTTTAATTGACTTGGTGTTCACAGGGTGATGAGCCTTCCTTGAGCAGTAAATTACAGTAGAAAGTTATGCAACAGCCTTTTTCATAAGACCTGAGTTATTTCTAGAACAGCTGGAGAAGTGTTCCTGCCTTCTGTTGGCATGAGAAATAAATTGATCTAACTACAAAAGGGTTGTTAAAGAGACAAGAGCTTGTTAAAGACAGTTTTAACAGGTTCCAAATACTGTAGGTACTGTGGTTTTAGTGACAGTGCTGCCTGTGATCAGCTGAATTCATCTAATTCTTGGCTGAGAATGGCCCTAGTTCCAAGTTATCCCTCCACAGCCACCCAATACAGGCCCATTGTGGAACACATTGAAGTGATAATGGCCTGGTAGTGGAGTCTGAGGGTGTTTCCTGGACCAAATCCATCTTTTGTCATCCATAGTCAACTCAGTTTCTTGTTTCACCAAGTCTCTTGAGTGCTCCAGAGTAAGAGGCCTTTTTCTTCCAAGAGCAAATGTTTGTGAACACACCATTTCTGTGCAGCTCATACGGGGCTTCTTTTTTCAGATGAGTTAATTATAAGTTTAATGCTTTTAAATGCAGAAGGGAGACTAAATAGTTGTTGTTTGTGTTATACAGCTCAGGTCCAAGTGTTGTCTGCTGCTCTCAGAGCTGCTCAGTTTGATTCTGTTGGTGACTGTGAGACCAAAAAAATGGAAGAAAGCAGTGGCAATCTTCAGAACAAAACCATTTCAGATGAAGCAGCTGTTTCAGATGCTGCCTGCACCCAGGTGCAGGAGGACACTCCCTCATCCCCTGCCTCCCAGGAGAACTTCAGTGACCAGTCAGCCACCAGTCTGCTGGAAAGCACAGTAAGTAACTTTTGTGCTCCATGTGTGAAAGGAATTCCTGCCTGCACGAGTCCTGGGTGGGTTTGTGTAGTCCCTGCCATAACTGACCCACTTCTGATCCAAAGCCCTTGAACATTACTAGGCCACAGCTATCACCTTCTACTTACTCTGATTAAAAAAGAAAAACCAGTGAGGGCTGTCATTTCTGTTTGCACCCAGATGACCCAGGAGTTAGTTTGGCAGGAGTCTTGCAGGATTTTTCCTGATCAAATGTAGCCAGTACAGACTCACCTCTTCCTGTAATGGATCTAATTTTAGTCTTTTATCTCTAGACAGGAGACTGAATCAGGTGGTGACACACATGCAGTTCCTGGTTACTATTTGTTGATTACAGCATACAATTAGGAGTAAAAGGAATTGTTTGCACAGTATTTAATCATGCTGGAGCTAAGGGTGAAATAAAAAGACAAGCAACTTGTCCATGAACAAAAATTGGACATAAAACTTGCATGATCAAAAATGTAAAATACTGTGAACTTTGGAGCTTTGTGTGGTTTTGTTCTTTTAGACTTTTAGTTCTTTTGAAGGTTTTTGTTGATATTTGAAGAGAAGAATTCCCAAATAACAGATTTGGGAATTTCCATCAGTTTGTCCTAAAATATCTTTTAAATAATATTTTTTTTTTTATTATGGTCAGAATTAGATTAAATCTAACTCCTGCTACCCTTGTTGCTGCCATGGTCTGTAGTGTTTGCCTCAGTGTACAACTCTGTTGTCTCTTTGTATTTGCATAAACACACTGAACAAGGCTCTGCCTGTGCAAGGCTCTGCCTGCAAAAGGCTGTTCTGATCTGAGCTGCATTGTCCTGCTGTGTGATGCTTTGAAATATCCCAAACAGCACCAAGTCTCATTCATTTCACTACCTAGTATCTCCTTTTCCAGGACTCAGAGGAACAACACAGAGGAACCAGTGTATTTTTAAGGAAAGAGCAAGAAAATAATCCACCTTTTGAAGATGACAAGTCAAAATTCCAGGTGATTAAAATAGCATCTAATGGCTTTAGTGCAGTGCTGGATGCAGTTCATCTTACCCCTAATGCAGTGATGTGCAAGGGATCAGTTGCAGAATGTGAAGGAATGCTCTGGGATTTGAGGGGAACCTTGTTTTAAATGAGAAAATTAGAAACATTGTTGCCTTTTTGGTGCCTTTGAGGCAACCTGTGCAGCCAAGGCAGGCACTGACTGTGGTGTGTTGTCACTGATTTACTCTTTGTCTTCAGCAAAGAAGAAATTTTCAGCTTGGTTGATGCAGTGTGCTGATACAGTAATAATGACTGTTCCTTGCTGACTGCTCTGTCCCAAAGAGAGGAGAAAGAAGTGTTGGGGTCGTGCCCTTGGGGAAGCTCCCCCATGCAGGGGTGCCTTGCTGCCGGTGGGTTGGGAGCAAGAGAACTGGAGCACAACAGGTGTGTTTTCTTTCTGCCCTTGAATTCCCATGTGTGTCACTGATTCCCTGTCTCTCCATAGGATATCATCCCTCAGCCCTTGCTGGACCAGTACCTGTCCATGACTGACCCTGCTCGAGCCCAGACTGTGGACACGGAGATTGCCAAGCACTGCGCCTACAGCCTGCCCGGGGTGGCCCTCACACTGGGCAGGCAGAACTGGCACTGCCTCAAGGACACCTACGAGACACTGGCCTCAGATGTACAGGTAAAGAAAAGGAAGGTTTGTAGTGATAAATCAGAAGTTTGAGGAACTTTTTTGTTCGCTTTGCTGCACTGAAGTTATTATAAGATCATCTAATTTCTTATAAGGGATTAAATATGCACTAAAAATACAAAATTTGAGACTTAAATCAGACTTTGTACTGCTGTGTAACCAGCCCTGTTTGTTCTGCTCTGTTGATCCCCACACAGGTGTAGTTCAAAAGCCTGTGTGTTTGTTTGGTGCCTGATGTAGTTCCCTTGTTGCCCTGTTTGCAGTGGAAGGTGCGTCGGACACTGGCTTTCTCCATCCACGAGCTGGCAGTGATCCTGGGGGATCAGCTCACAGCTGCTGATCTGGTGCCAATTTTCAATGGATTCCTGAAAGACCTGGATGAAGTGCGGATCGGTGTCCTCAAACATCTGTATGACTTCCTGAAGGTAGGGAAGTGCAATTAATTTCTTCATGTACATTTTTTTCTGACTCCATTATATCAAGAGTCTTCTAATGAGCTCTGCACATATCAGGATCTAATTAATGTTTGGTTTTGTACAAAGCTGCCATTTTGTGTGTGTGTCTATTCCTTTTTTAATGTGCCTCACTTCTCTTTTGTCTCATAACCCAACAAAACATCAAAACTGAAAACCCTTTGTAAATGTGGTTGTAAATGCTGCTGGCTGTTGTAAAGGAATTAGTATTTTGGGCAGTCCAACTGGAAAGTTGGCCCAGTAGCAATTTATGTTTGGGGCTGGGAGAGAAGAGAGCAGATCCTGGTGGGTAAAACACATAAATCCTTAGTTTTCGGTGCCCAGAGATGGTGTTTTGATGGGTGTCCTTGCCAAAGGAGTGACTTATTGTACTTTTTTGGGTGTCAGTCTTGTGTGTCCAGGCACTCAGCTGATTGTGCACAGTTTTAGGAAGCATCTTGTCAATGGTCACTTGCTTTCAAGTAGGAAAATGCACATAGGTGTGAACAGAGCAACACACCAGAGAACTGCAAATATTGAGTTTTCCCAGTTTTACACTAGTCATGTTTCTCCTTTAGCTACTTCATGCAGACAAAAGGCGAGAGTATCTTTACCAGCTTCAAGAATTCGTGGTGACTGATAACAGCAGGAACTGGAGGTTTCGTTACGAGCTGGCAGAGTATGTAATCTTATTAACTTCTGGTTTTTAATCTGTATCACTAACTTGGAAATAGGCATTACATTCAGAAGTTAGCACGTCTGTTTGGGAGCTAAAATTTAAACCATTCTTTAGTAGTGAACTCAATTTAAAAGCCACTGGCTGTTAGGGTTGTTTTGGGGGAGCTGGGAGTGTTTGGGTTTTTTGATTTGTTTGGTTTTTGGTTTTTGGTTTTTTTTGTTTGGGTTTTTTGTTTGGTTTTTTTTGTTGTTGTTGTTGTGCTTTTTTTTTGGGGGGGTTGTGTTTTGTTTTGTTCAAGTTGTGTTGTAATCAAGTGTGATTGAAAGTTAAATGTCTGTGATGACACTAAAGTGGAGATCTGGTTCACTGACAGCTCATGAAATATGACGATCTGATAGATACTATTCAATGAGGTCTCAGAATTTATTTAGTTTGAGGCTCCCTTGCAAAGATCAGTGAAATGTATGGAAACAGTAATTTTTCTCATGTGTGAGAAAGAAAAAACAGTTCTTAAAAAGTAAGTTGGTTAATTTGGTACTTCTAAATGGCTGTATAATGAAGGTAGAACAACATCCCACAGTTCTTTCTCTACAAGCCCTGTTGAATTTGCAGCACCTTGGTAGGCATAGGTTGGGACTCAAATCTGACCTTCACATTTGTAGTGTTGGTGTGTTTGGGCTGTTGAGGCCTCGCTGTCCCTCTGTAGTTTGTCACAACAAACAAGGACGTTCCACAGCAGTGCCCTGACCCCTAGTGGGGACCTGCTGCTGTTCTGTGCTGGCAGTGCTGTGACTGCAGTGAGTGAGCTTCTGAGGTACAAATTATTATCTGAAAGGCAGATTTCTACACTGAGGCAAATAGTCAGTGTTCACTTTGCAAGAATGTACAGGATATTGGTTTGAAGTTGCAAAAGAAACTTCTTGTTTTACTTACGGTTCTAGCTTTTGTTGTTATTTGGGATAATTTTGATATATCGATATATGTAGTTTGGGTAACAGTTTCTCTTGGACTCCCTGATGGATTGAAGTGTGTGAAGAGAAGAACAAACTGCTCAGGGGCTCTGTAGTGACTGTGGTACCGTAGTGCTCCTTCCCCACGTGGAACAGATGCTGAATGGGAGCAGGCTGGTGCTGCAGTTGGGAGAGTTAATGATTTCCTTTGTGTTGCAGGCAGCTGATCCTGATCCTGGAGCTCTACAACCCCAATGATGTCTATGACTACCTGAGACACATTGCACTGACTCTCTGCTCCGATAAAGTCTCAGAAGTTCGGTGGATCTCCTTCAAACTGGTAGGGGATTGAGTTCACTTCCTGGCAGGAGAGCAGGAAATGATCCTGGAGAGGGGTATCTGCAATCACTGTTTTTTCAGACAAGTAGGGTGAATTGAGACGTGTTTTGATAAATATGGTAAACAGTACAGAAAAGGGTGAAATTAAAAGGTTTTATAAAATATTTTGAGTTGTCCCCCTGCCACAGATATTAAAATCTTCCTCCGTGATTGTATGTGAATAATAAATCTTTTCACCTGAATGAAAGCCAGCATGTATAAGATTTGGAAGAACTTCTTCCAGTTCTGGGGGAAAAAGCCACAACAAAACACAGAACAACCAACTACTGATCTTTCCTCAAAGTTGATTTAATTTATGAAATTCATGGCAATGCCATCATCCCATAGATGTCCTGAAGGAGTAGAAATATTCCTTCAGTCTCTTCCTTTTCTTCATGGCACCCTGTAAAGGGGCATTATTTTACTACTGGTTTTAATTCTGGTGGTTTTTGGTTCAGGTGAACAAACAGCTTTTCTAAAGCTTGGGCTTTTTCCAGAATAAGCACAGGAATTTATTAAAACCTACAAGCACAGCTGACAGCGCTGCGTTTGGTGTCCCCTTGTAGAATTCAAATGAAATTATGGGGGGTTTTTTAACTCTAAGGGCTGCAATTGAAGTCTCATCTCTTCTTTTTGTTCCTTTTCCCCTTGCTTTGCCCTCACAGGTTGTAGCAATCCTCCAGAAGTTCTACACAAACAATGCAAATGCCCTGGGGTTAAATTTCATCAATGAACTTGTCGTGCGGTTCCGTCACAGCTCCAAGTGGGTTGGAAGACAAGCCTTTGCCTTCATTTGTCAGGTTGGAACGTTCTCTCTCTGTTTCTGTGTGTACTGTTTCATTTGCAGCTGGTTTGGGCTTTAGCAGCAACGTGGGGAAAAACTAGAATTTGGACTCCCAATTTGTTTTGTCATTTTTGGGCTCTGTGATTCTGTGGGTTGACATGGCTGGTCCAGCTCAAGCTGTGTCTTTGTCTGGGGCTGTGCCTCCAGCTGCAGTAGCTGAGCCTTGGACTTCTGGTATCCCAGTGGCAAAGTCAAGAATTAAGTCCCAAACCAAGATGCATTTTTTTAAATATTTGGCCATGCAAGGATAAAGGGTGACAAGAGCTCTTCAAATTACCAAGGGGTGCTACATGCCAGGAACTATTTCTCTCTTTATTGCCACTTACCCACCCCCTCCAAACCAAAAATGCTTAATTCAGTAGCAATGAGGAGCAAGGGTTGAATGTTCAAAGGCAAAAGGGCAATGACAGCCGAGAGAGAAACATTTTCTAAAATATACTTGAAAGAAATTTGCTGTTGTTGGATCATCTTTGGCTGAACTTTGGAACAATAAAACGTTATCAGAACAGGAGTTCAAAGGCTGTGCTTATTTCACCAACACAGGGTAGGGTGTAATTGTTCAGAGCTTTTTTTAATAGGCCAAATTAAGGACAGGATGGAAAGAAATGGCACATAGTGTCTTTTTAACACAAATCTTGCTTTCCTGTGCTGTGTCTGTCCCTAGGCCGTGGTGGAGGAGGAGTGTATGCCCGTGGACCAATTTGTGGAGCATTTACTGCCCAGTCTCCTGAGCCTTGCCTCAGATCCCGTGCCCAACGTCAGGGTCCTGCTTGCCAAGGCCCTCAGGCAGACACTGCTGGAGAAAGGTGTGGTCATGAATTTCCTTGGAAAGGCCCAGCATCTCAGGAATGCTGCTTTTCCTCTGCTCAGTTCATTGCAAGGCTCTTAAACAGGATCATGTGTTGTACTCTGGGATAGTGCATTTAACTTCGGACTGGAGAGTGTAGATTTAGGAATTTTAGGAGTGGCTTTGCAGCCTTGGAATATGGGATGATTATCCCTAGAGGGCCTAGAAGTGGCTTTGTTAATCCAGCAGGACCCACTTGGGGGCACTGTGGCCTCGCCAACAGCGGCCGAGGCGGCTGCAGGGTTTGGGATCCATCGTGCTGCAGTTTCCTGAGTTACAATTCCTTAAAAACGACAAAAAAAAAGGCAGCTGATCCCTGATTATTCAAAGGAAGATGCACAGAAATCTCCTCTCCTATCTTTTTTTCAAAATCAAGTATGGAGAAGGTTTTGGATTGCATTGTACAGTGGCAGGTTCCTGAGCCTGCTTTTGCTCAGGGACATTTCTGTTTAGGACTCAGCCAAAAGAATTTATCTTAGAAGTATTTAAGTACCTAATAAGATGAGTCAGAAGCAGCATATTTCTCCTTCTCTGTCAGCTTCCTTGGCTTCCTGTAGTTTCTGTAAGGAGACTATAAATTGAATAAGCTGCCCCAGATGTTTTTGGCATCCTCTGGATTTCTGCACTACCTATGCCTAGGGATTGTTCTTTTGGATTTGATTAAAATTGTCTCTTTTCTTCCCTTATTCTAGCTTATTTTAAAAGTGTTGGCAATCCTCATCTAGAAGCTGCAGAAGAGACCATTCTGGCCCTGCAATCTGACAGAGATCAAGATGTGTCTTTCTTTGCCACCATAAAACTAAAACAGGGTAACATGGACAATATTACCATTGAAAAACAAAACTAACAAGTTGTTCTGCAGCAGGGGCTGAACAGCAGGACAGTTGTTCACTTTGTGGTCGTGTTGGTGTGAGTAATGTGAGCAGATAAGGTGGGTTCTGTCACCTGTTTGAGCAGGAAATGTTACTGTCTTCATTTCATGACCTCGTTTCCTCTGCCCCACTGTTTGATTCCCATGAGTAATCACTTCTGGTTTTCCCTCTGTAAATGTGGGTGATAACTCTGATCTCACCTGCAGTTCAGTATTATCTGTAAAGTCTTACACCACACTCTGTGTTTCAGTGTTAATTGGAATTCACATTTCATTTTTTAACAAAACATTTCCAGGAGCACAAGGCTGCTACAAGCTTAAAATGGTTTCTGAATCTTAAAACCTGATTATAACAAACTTCCCTGAAGCTCTTCTTTCTTCACTTATACTGTGGTTTTTGTATTGTTTCAGTTGTTACATTTATTTGCAAAAAGTGTATATATGTGAATAGTTTTGAATTGTAACAAAAAATTAATGAACTGAATTCTGTATCAGTGGAAAAAGCTCATAAAACATTTCATTTTTTAAAGTAGTTACACTGCTAGAATTAAGGCATGGGTCATTTTTACTTAATATAATGTGATATTTTTCAAAGCACAGAGAGCTCAAGATTCTTTGTATATTGTGACATTTCCATTAATTTGTTACTTCTGAGCTACACTCTTACAGGTGTTAACAGTCATAACAACAGCCCTGTTATTTCTTGACCACCCTCACAGGTCAGTTGGTGTTACTGCTGACTCTCCTGGGGTAGGGAGACTGTAGATTTCCCAAGTGGAAAGTTCCTCATTCTGCCCCAGCAAAGGTCACTTGAGGGATTCAGTTCCTGCAACACATCCTGTGTCTGTACAGGGGTGTTACGGAAGGTTACAGGCTTCACTTTGTTTGTTTTACTCACCTCGTTTAACAAACACCTTTCAACTTGCCTGGTGTTTAAATCCCAAACAGCTTTTCCTGAGAAACAAAGGACCTCTAAATTCTGAAAACCCCCAGATCAGAAGTGTTCCAGGGAAAGGTGTGACACAGTTTGCTCTGTAACTTCTGTGGATTGTTTGGGAAGGTTTGGGGCAAACCCCAAATGAAGGTTACTGAAGGTAAGGTGAGGCAGGATGTCTTCTGTGTCCTGAGACAGGGGCTCTGGAAGAAAGATAAAATACACAGATGGAGCAGAGTTGTGTTGGGAAAACTGAGTAACTTCAGACAGTTGGAAAAATGATAAAGCCAATACTTTTGCTGGGCCCTGTCTTCTCCTGGGTCCCAGATCTGCAATAATGTGCGGCCTGGGGGGGGAAAAAAAAAGCCATTTTTATAGTGGGGATTGAAACTATCCTGTTCCAAAACTAATGCTTGAATACTAAAGAAATGGCTCCACGTGGTGACAGTTACTGGCTGAGGAGGGTCCTTTCTCCTGCACAGACCTGTGTGAGTGTCTCCCCTCTCACCCACGTCAGCCAGAGTTCACGTGGGGAAGGTTGTTACAGCAGTGGCTGTTTTGGTTGGGTTTGAATGGGGCTTGTCTGCAATACAAGTAGGTTCCTCAGCTGGGTTCTGTGTTTTGGGAGGGCTCAGTTTTGGGTAAGTTAACTGCTCATGTATTATATGATCTGTACAGTATTTGTAACAAGTGATTTCCTTGTGAGATCACAAACTGCTCTTTGGGAGCTGCAGGCAGAACTATACCACTGCTACTGCAGCAAACAGTGTAAACTCTGTAAACTCTTTAATGTTCTACATTTAATTTTTTACAGGTTTTTTTTTATAATTTAAAACAAATACTTCTTCAGTACAGACTTTTTATGATTGCTATTTCTTAACAAAAAGACCCCTCAAGTTAATTTTTTCTAGTTCTAATATCTTTTTCTAATGCTGGCATTATACTGGTATTTTCTAACAGTTCAGATTTTCTAAGGCCTTTCTGACAAGGTTTGACTTCTGTTTTTTATTATCAGTTCCTTAAATTTCTCAGCACTGAACAGATTTTTTTTTTTTTAAAGTGTGTGTATATGTAAGTATGTTTGAAATATACTGTATATAAATTAAATACCTTGAACATAACCCAACCCAGGTTTCTGTTTGTCAGATCACCTTAAATAGTTTCCTTGACTTGCAATAATCCACTGGAAAACACAAGCTTCCCTATGTTTTAGCATGTTTGGTTAGTGTTCACTGGGAGTTTTTAACCAGAATGTGTGTAAAGGGTAAGCCACCAGCCATAAAAGTTCACTAAAAGGCTAAACAAAGCTCCTTGTTTTTAACAATATTCTGGTACCTCTCTGGCTCCCAGATTCCTGTCAGTTTTGAACAATATGATTTCAGTGGAGAGTTTTAAAACCTTCTTTTGCAACTTTACACTTGCATGTACTAACGGGGGCCATCACAGTTTTGGGGTGGGGTTTTTTGTAGACTGTGCAGGTCTGTTAAACAGATTTACCCTCTACAAGTTTGTCTTTTTGGTTGAGTTTTAAACTAGAGATGGTTTCAGCATGACTAAGGCTGCACTTTACGTCTTGTACAGGACAAATGTGTGCAATGGGTCCAGGGGGGTGTTCATGGAGTTCTCTGGGCTCTTCAGTTATGCGAAGAGATGCGTTTGAAAAGCCAGATGGGGCAAAGGTAGAATTTCACAACAGCAGTAAGAAATGAACTCTCCATTTCTAGCTAAGGAACGTGACAGTAACAGTGGTGGGTGCAATATTGCTTGGATGCTGTAGGAAATGGTCAGGCCCTTGTGATCCAAAGGATTCCAGCCCCCTGGTGTCACTGGTCCCCATGGCATCGCTCGGCTGTGTCTGTGCACGGTGGTGTTTAGAACCCGGTTAAGTGGGGACGCTCTGGAAGTGTCTCTTGTTTGTCAGAGTAAAGAATCTATGTAACTTTCTATTTGTATTTATCTCAATAAATCTGTGACTGTTTTATAAACCAACCTGTGGTAACCGGCTTTTGTCATGGGTGAGATGGGAGTGTATTCCCTGGGTTAATGAAACATCTCTCAAGTGTTTGACCAAGGCTGAATGTGGAATTTTTCATACTGAGCAGTAAAAAAAAAAAAAATCCATTAGATATCCAGAGATGTTAATTAGCTCTCCCTGCATTTTTTCCTTGAAGTGAGTGTGCCAAAAGTGCTTCAACTTATCGTGATGGCTGGAAAATACTTGCATTATTTTAATTCAGCTGTCTGCCATTTTGCATTTCACTTTCTCAACCAGATACTTAATCCAGGTGGTTTTGTATAGATAGGAGAAACAACATGAAGTATGCATAAAATCCTTTTTCTTGGTTATCTTAAAACACCATTAGAAGGTTGAGGTTGTCTGTTCTTGGGTGTTCCTGTGAGGCTAAGGGACTTGTCTGTGTTAAGAGAATCAGAGGCAGAAACTGTTTCATATCCCTGTGTATTAAATGTTCTCCCTACCAGATGTAAAGCAGGAAATGGAAGGATGTGCCCCAAGAACCAAGGGTTCTTTGAAATGAAAGGTGTGTTGGCATAAGAGCCCCACAGAAAGATTGGTGACACTGTTGTTTTTTTTTTCAAGTAACCTCCCCCTCTTTATTTTTAAGAAATAACCATTTAGCTTCCTCTTACAGCTGAGAAAACCACTGTGGAAGATGCAGCCCAACATGGAGATGGTTTTGCAGGAGGAACAGCAGCATGAGCACCTGACAATTGCTCCTAAGAGACCTCTCAGCAACACTGCAGAACTGATGTTTGGGTTTATTACCAAAAAAAACTCTTCCTTGGAAGGATGTGATACAGGACTGTTTCCTCAGGTAGCCTGGGTTTAGGAGCTGTCTCTGGAATCGAGGCCCAAAGTCTTGGCTGCCTCCTGTGGAGTCTGGGCTCACGTGGCCAGTGCTGTGTGTCCTCTTACCCCAAAAGCTCAGGTCAGCTTCCAGTACATTTAAGAGAAGGTCAATAACTGTAAAAAGGAACGATTTCTAGATAATTTTGTGGGACTTAATAGCTACAGATGAAAGGAAAAGCCACAAGAATGTCCAATCCAAGGGGTGGCTAAGAGTAAATATCATTAGAGAGTAGAGAATCAAGATGGGGCAGAGTAACAGGAAACAAGCAGGGATGATGTAGCTGATCCAGGGGGATTTATGTAGTGTGCAGACACCCCTTGGTTGATACCTAAAAAGGATGGCACTAAAAGGTCTGTGTTTATTCTGCAGAGCCCACCTGGGAATTACTGAGGACTTCACAGGCACCACACAGAGTTCCTGGGAGCAGAGCAGAGCAAGGGACGGGTGGTGCTCAGAGCTGCCCTGGAACTGGCTGTGGCCAGCACAGAAGTCGTGTGGGAAGTGCCAAGTTTCTCCTGAGACATGGTAATAGTCTTGGAACAATCCTTCTCTGGCACAGCAAACCCCCTTCTTGCTTCCCAGGCCACAGAATTGCCCCCAAATGGCCTCGTGTATTTGGTGTTTGAGGTGGGGAGTGTGTTGAGCACAGCAGTGCTGAGGTGGGCTTGGAGACAGGAATAACTGAGGATCTTTTACAATGAGCCATTTATTGATGGGACTTCCCTGCCTGTGGGGGTATATAACTTGTTAGCTCAGGGAATTTTTGAGCAGAAAGAAAGAGAAGCTTTTTGTTGTACCTGTTCCATATTTACCAATAGACACCAGTGGTGCAGAACACTGACAATCCTTACATTCTCTTCTTAAAGCGACCCATATGGACATAAATTGTTAAATGCCAGAGGACTTACAGCTTGTGAAACCCAACAGACATCAGGAAACTGGTACTGATTGGGCTCTTACATGTTGTTTTCCTCTTGCTTAGGAAAGAGAATTGTAGTCAGTTTGCAATCTCCCTGACATTGTTCATAAAGGAAGCAGACAAAAAGTACCAATGAAACAGAAGGGCTGCAATTTAGTTAATTTATGCAAAACACAATCAGCATTCAAACTGGGAGTTATCAGTTATGTAAGCAGATATGTATTGATAGAAAAGCCAAAATATTCTCTGTGCATAACTTGTGAGATGTTAAAACAGAATTTCAAGAGACTCCTGGAACTCCCATAACTATAGGCCAGAGAAGATGCAGCAGTGAATTCTACCACTGCCAAATTCCTGAGGAGTGCAGAGGCATTGATTTAATCCCTGACACCTCAGGCTGGACCAGCTCTGCTGGGACACAGGAGCTGGTATCAGTAAGGAAAAACAAACAGCTTTTTCAGGAGAGGGGTTAGAAGGGAGGGTGATTGCTTATAAAACATGCTTGCAAAGAATCCCTGCTGGGGAGAGAGAAGAACAGTGAGGAGGGAGTAAAGGGCAGAGAAATGGGAGGAACTGCAGGTGGGGAACATCAATCTGAGGGTGGTCTGTCTAAAGCACAATCACTGCAGCAGAACCCTCTGCCTTCATTTCTGGACTTTGCAGTGTTCCTGAGTTGTGACCACAGCGTTCAAAGGCAGCCAGAATCCGGCAGGGAGCTGTGCCTGAGGATCCTGCTGACCAGGAACGTTTAGAGAGGAAGGTGGTTTGCAGAGGGGAGCCAAAAGCTATTAATTTTCTCCTGTGCTTCCAACAGCCCGTTTGGGTTGGTTTGATGCCTAAGCCAGGCTGCAATTGAGGTCAGTGCTTTGGTTTCCCTTTAAGCTCCAGTTCTCTATACACTGTTCTGTTTGCACCATTTGCTTGACATGACTGTCTGCTCTGGGTTGATGGTGTTTTTCTAGAATTCCTGTGTGTACAGAAGCTAATAAAGGAACTGTCAACTCAGAAAGCCCCTCTTAAAATACAGTTCTACTGGCTTGGGGTAAGAAATGCACAGATCCCTTGGCCAAGCCTCCTCTGTGGAATTTGTGATGCCATTGCAATTCCTTTGGTTTCCAGTAGCCAAACAACCCCTGGGGTCAAGCAGAAGTCAAGGTATAAAAATGGATGGCTGTGAGCCTCCTTACCTGTTAGCTGCCATGTGTTAGAGGGATGATGTGGACTGCAGCAGTTCTGTTCCCTCTCCTGGTGAGTGTTTGTGTGCATCATTCAAATGTGTGCGTGTGTTTGAATTCCAGCTCTCATTGATTGAATTGGTCTATGATAATAAACAGTATAAATAAATCAGGTGGGAGTTAAAGCACTGGGGAGGGGAAAATTAAATTCAGTGCAGTGACCTCGAGCAGAATGTAATTTCAAAAGTGCCTTAAATATGCTGATGGCATAAAATAAGGCTGAGGAAGTTGGAGGGGCGGGAGAGTCGGGGAGAGAGGAATAAAACAAAATTACTTGGATTTATCAGGATTACAGGCAGATATGGTTTATGCAGTTTATTGTAGGGGAGTGTCATTCATGAGGCCAGGGACCAAAAGTGATCAGAGAGCAGTGGGAATGAGGGCGGTGTGGATACGGATCCGAGCATGTGCAGCACCAGGGGAAGGCTCTTCCTGGGAGCAAACCAAGCAAAGCAGGGAGGAGGATGGGGGGATACAGCCTTGCCAGCAGGAATTACAGGGACAGTCAGGCCTTGTCTGTTGGTGTAAAACATGCAGGAATCCTCTCGGGCTGGTTTGATGAAGCAAAAACCTTCTGGCTGTTGCAGATGAAGAGAGGAGAATCCAGCTTTTGATGTTACAGGAAACATGGTCTGTAACTGAGCTGCCTAATAGTTCATAGTTAGTTCATCACACTAATTTCAGACTAGAAAAATAAAAAAATACTTTGTTTTGGACTAATGACCACCCTAACAGCCAGAAGAAAGCAAAGAAATTGGTGAATCCTTCCAGTTGGCTCATGTAGAGGTAGATCCTGTGGGTTTGAAAGTACTTGTTTTCTTCTGGTTTTCTTTCCTTCTTTTTGTTTATTTTAATTTTTTAAATATTTGATTTGTCCCTTAAATTGTAACCTTTTTTTCAGTTGTGGCCAAGGAGCTTTTGAAACCCAGTCAAAGGCAGAAGCACTAAAAGGAGAACTCTGTGCATTGAAGTCCATCCGTGTCCTTGCAGCTTCTGTTGTTCTGTCAGATACCATGTTAACTGTCCTCGTTTAAAAGTGCTTTCTCTACCTTGACCCATATCTCTAAATGTCCCTTTTATACATCTTCTCCTCAGAAGAAATTAGATATTTGAAAATATAATCTTCCTGTCTTACCTTTTAGCACCCCAGTTTCATTTATATCCAGAAAGATTCCCAATAGTTGATAATTTCCAGTATCTTAACACCTAGGGCATAGCAATAACACATGGACCTCTCTTTTCCTTTGAGTCCTCCCTGCTTGGTGCTGCAGCACATGAAATCCATTATTCTTTGGAAGCCACAGCTTGAGTTTGCCATAGCTGAGTAAGACAGTGAGGACCTACAGGGAAAACTGAACTGGGAAGGGCAGAAGTGAAAGCAAGTCACAAACAATTTCCTACCTAATCCTTGTGTCATATCGGAATTAAATCATAGGGACTGGTAAAAGAATCCTTGGGGAAGCAAGAGATGCACTTGGAATTTTCCCTTTTCTGAGTCTCTTCAGGTTTTGTGGTCTCTCACTGATGTGCTGCCCAGTTGAGTGTCCCTGCCCAGGATTCTGGGAGCAGGCTGGATGTGCTCTGAAGTGTTTTCTACCCCACCAGTCACGGATCTTCCTGTGACTGCTTCTCTTGTTGCAGTAGTGGTGACAGAAGGCTGACCTCCACGTTTCTGTTATCCCTCAGTTCTCCACAGCAAACAGTCAGCAGTAGCTGGAATCTGCATCCTTGGAGTTGTGCTGTCAGTTTGGGCTGTTGTCACACACTTAGCTAATACCCTCCAGTAATTTTATTTCTTATTCACATGCACTTAATGTCCTTCGTCATTAGACTGAAAAATGTTAACCTTGTCATAGTTAGTGACTGGAAGCAGAAAAGTCCTTTTAATTCTCAGGGGAATGAATTCTAATTTTCTGCTTGTCAGAAAGTGACATTTTACATATTTTTCTCTTTTTTTCCCCCACCAGTTTAGTGCTAAATTTAAATGTGTGTGTCATAGGAACAGACCTTTAGTCTGTGCTAAACACCCCAAAAGCCTTGGCGGGTGTCCAGTGCATGAGAGCCTTGACCAAGAGCTGCTGCTAAAGCTCATTTCATGCACTGCAGAGAAGGGGAGGTGAGGATGGGAGGTTGGAGATAAGGGGTTATCTCAGAGGGCACATTAACATTGCATGTCAGGATGCATTTTTTTTTTTTCCCCTAGAAAATATGGATGGATGAAAAGCAGCTCATCTGGAATAAAATGTCCAGTGAAGAAACAAATTATGTTAATCAAGCAGACTAGTATTAATATTTGTCATAAAGATGTGACACCTTCTATTTAATGTCACAAACTACTGGGAGCCTTTGAAAAATGTACTGGTGGGAAGGAAAGTTGCCTGCAGATACTGAGTTCACTGTTCTATGAAAGGGAATAACTTGTCTTGAAAATTAGATGGCATTTATGACAAAGAGAAATAATCCTCCCACAGATTACAGCTGTTCACTGCATTGTTGTGCTGGTGGTCTTATCTCATCAGTGGATATTTTATAAGGTTCCTTCCTTTTTCTCTTTTTTTTTTTTTTGATACATTTCCATAAGCCTGTTCTGAGGAGGACATTGTGTGCTGGGAACTGGGTGTATTTTGAGAAAGGGACACCACTACAAAGAACTCTTGAGTCTAAATTGCAAAGATGGGTGAAGTAAAAATGAGGGATGGTTATTTTGCTTTTTACAGATGGGAGCTGAAGCAGGGGAGGTGACTGTTGTGGCCAAAGTCACCCTGGGAGTCCGTGGAATTGCATCCTGATCTTTGAAGTACAGTTCCAGTATTTTACCATATATTGTCTCTCTGTTCCCTTACTGATGAATGTGGACTTAATATGCACATGTGTGATGAGCCAGACATGTTCTGCATATGTTGAGCCAAATTCTGACCTAAGGGCCGTGAGGGGAGCGCTCCCTGGGCTGGTAAGGAGCGTTTGCAGGGCTGGGCTCAGCCCCAGGACTGCACAGTGCTGGCATTTCTAAAGCCCCTCCTGGGCTGAACTTTGCTCCCCCTGCCTGTTTGGTGTTTGAGCCAGTTTGGGGTTCTCTGGAGTTCTGGAGAAGCTCTGGGTGAGGCACTGCCTGGCTCCTTGGCCGACCTCGTGCACTGCCTGCACACCAGATGCTGATTAATGATTAGCATGTAACTAATTAATAAATCAATGCCACAAACAAATAAACCATCCATTACAGTGACTTCCCAAGTCTCTCCCTTCTGGGAGAGAAGGGAGACTTGCAGGCATTCCACCCTTCTCTGTATGAAGGTGCCTCTGGACTGTGTGCTGTCTCTACACCAGGCAGATCTGCTGTGTGGATGAGATTCATTGTATTCCACGGGTAATTCAATATGTGCTGGGGAAAAAATGGACGTTTTTGGTTTAGTTTTGTTCTATGCAGGGGAGGGTGAGTGGTCAGCACAGTCAGTGTGGGCTCAGGAGGAACAAGTCCAGTGTTGTGTGTTCCTGTAAGGCCCTGGCGTCTTGCCCTGAAGGGCTTCATCCACACTGACTAATTTCTGACAACAGCCTTTGAAGTGTAGAGATAAAATCTGATTGCCCAGGCTCCCTCTGTAGCTTTGTGGAGAAAGCAAGGATCCTGTGGGGTATCATTTAAAGGTCTGAATTTGGACTCCAGTCCTGAATCATGATCAGAGCTTAAAATTAATCCACATGGCACATCAGACATCAGTGACCTGAGCCTGTCTGAGCCAAAATCAAGCACCAAATCGAGTTACTGTGTTGTCATCATCAGGCTGTCAGAAGCACAGAAACTTCTGTGCCTCTGGCCTTATTTTTCAAAAATAAAAACCATTTGAAGGTGTCATGATGTGTTATGTAATACAGCTAATTAATGCCCTTGTAGCAACTAACCAGAGCATTCAGACAGAATTTAGAGGTGGTTTCTGAATCTGTTCAAACACCTCCAAATCCAGAATGAGATAAGGGAGGAAATAAATTCCTGATGGGCATGAGTGATTTTTCCATTCTTCTTACACAGAAACTGTATGTACTTGTGTGCAGTTCTTGGGGCATGATTTATATATTGCAATAAATAGCAAGTGACTGTGTACATAATTTAAAGGGACAATAAAGAAAAGCAGATGATTTAATTGAATTGTGCATAATAAAGCTGTAATTTTTCAGGGAAGGCTGAAGTCAACCAGGTGACCAAAGTGACCTACTGGAACCTGAGGGACAGGACAAGCTCTGCAGTGTGGCTGTCACTGCCCTGATGGGGACTGGTCAGTAGGCAAAGGCTTACATGGCAATGCTGTGTATTTATCTTCTTCTCTTCTCCACATAAAAGTTGTGTAAATGATCATTATAGAGCCCTTCTCCGAAGCAGGAGATCCTTCCTCACGGGGTTTGGAGATGCTTTTCCACATCCATGACCATTAACTGCCTGTGCATTACTGGGCTCCAGGACAGCACCAGTGCCAAACACACACATGAAATGAATGAAGAACATATTACAAATAATGGCAGTATTTATGTGATTTGGTGTCTTCTGTGTTGCACAAAGCCTCAGGAGCTGGTTCTCTCCAGCAGTACCAGGGAGCTGATGGGCACACAGCAGTGCAGGGTCTGGCTGCCCAGCAGAACCAGCCTGGTACTGCTGCCAGGTAATGACAGAGCAGCAGTGACTCCAACAGTGCGAATGAAAGGAGAATTAAAAGCAGATTTAGGCAATCCTTTCTCCTCCTTGAGTCCTCTAAGTGCAAAATATACTTCCTATATGCATGCAGGGCACTTTAATTGTGATTTATTGAGTATGAAGAAGATTGTTCCCTCTCAAGTTAAGTGCTGGGCCAAGGTGAAGGAGTTAGTCTCAAGCTGTCCATTGCTAGTACCTATCCCAGTGAAATGCTGATTTTCTCAGCACTCCTACTGAAAAAAAAAACCAGAAGGGTAAACAAACACAATGAAAGACCTGTTTTGGTCAGACCTGTGGTGAGAGCTGGTGAAAGTTTTCTCATTTGGACATAAATAACTCGAATTATTATGGACACAGCTTCTTGGAGAACAAAATAATAAACACTGTCCCTCCATGCTTCCTCACCAGCCTGTCAGTTGTATCTTGGCTTCTCCTGAGAGACTGTAAATATGTGGGGTTTGTTCGTTAGCACTATAATGTTAAGATGGAAGCTGTAATGCACGTGATGGGAGCACAAGAAATTACTTCAGCTTTCATTGAAACAAAGGACATGACTGTGCTCTGGCAATAGGAGCATAATGGCTGTTTAATTTTTCCAGACAGGGACTGGAGCTCACTGGGGGTTTTTTTGGGCTCTTGCTTTGTTTTTGTTTTTGCTCCAGCTTTTAAGGATGAGAATGTTGTGTCTGACGCGTGTCAGCAAGCAAAGGAGATTCACTAGCAGAGCTGGGTCCGTCTTGCTCCCCGGTGAGGAATAAAAGCATGAGCCGTCTCTCACTTCGGGAGGAGAAGGGGGGGCTGTTTCCAGGCTGCGGGAAGTGCGAAGGCATTGTCAGGTTTGGGTCAGGCGGAGCCGGGGCTGTGCTGAGCTCTCAGCAGGACCCATCAGCCGGGTGTCACTCGGCAGCCTGGAGGCATCTCCGGGAAAAGCCAAGACAGAAGCGTGGGGGGCGAAGCTGCCGCCGTGTCTTGTGGTGGTGCAAGACTGTTCTCTGTAACAATGATCTTTGTGGAAAGCAGACACAAAAATGGATAAAAGAATAAAGAGCCTTTATCAAGGAAGCAGAGAGAGAAAATGGCCACTTCTACACTCCCCACACTTAGATGCTAAATAATGCTGTTATCAAAGCTGTTGAAAACTGCTGAACAGGAGTTGTGCCCACATTTAATCCCAGCCTGGTACCTGCAAGGCCTGATCCTGCCCTCAGCTGCATCCAGGGAATCTGATGTCAGTGGGGCCACTGCACTGAAAAGGATGGTAGAGAACGAAGAACTGTTCTGTTTATTTCTTCATGGTTGCATCTGGTTTTGTGCTTTGAAGTTCTCAGATTTATTTCAATCTTCAGGTTTATTTTCACTTCTTTAGGGAAGCAGATAAAGCAGGGAGGGGGAAATATGAGGGATGGGGCCAAATTCAAAGTGGAGTCACTTGGGCAACATAAACAACCTGCAACCCCAAGGTGTAATTTCCATTGGTAAAACCACCTTGAACCAACTAATTGCTTCAAAATTACAGCCAGATTTCAGCTTTGTAACTGCAGAGTGCAGTTCACTTGAACCAGGACAAGGGTATCACATGAGGGAGCTTGGAAGAGAACCTACTGAGCTGCCTCACAGGAAAAATGGTAAAGCTGCATTTCCCTTATTGTCATGCATTTCCTGGACCCAGGTTTATTGGTTTAATCCCTTCTCTCCATTCCAAAACAATCAAATGAATATATACAAATTTAAAAATCCCTAAAACAGTAGCTTGCCTCCATATTGCAATGGACATTGAACAACAATAGATTTAAGGTCCTTTGGCAATTTTGGGTGGGTGAACTCAGTTTTTGCCTGTGTTTGCTTGAAAATTTGGATAGTTGTTTTCCCAACGCTCCTGATTTTGTTTTACATTTAGTTCTCAGTAGTTTAGTCCTTGCTGTGTATGACAGAGCAGATTGAGGGTGATGTTATGTTCACTGGCAACCTGACCAGTTTCAGAGCACAACAGTATCATTTTCCAGCACAGTTAAATTTATTGCAGTGTGGTCCAGTGAAATGGTCTGACATGCTTTCAACTATCCAAATAACAATTTGCTGGGATGTGGAAACCACAGGAGTCAGGAAGAAGGTAGTAGTCTGTGAGTGGGTCTTGTCTGTCTTGCTACAGGGACATGGTTACCTGGGGAAGAAAACACAACATGTTTAGGACTCAGTGCAAGAAGTGCCCTGGGCTGGGATTCACTTGGGGCAGCATTTCTGGTCAGGTTGTCACTGACCCTGTTAGATTAATGTTTGTCACTTTGGTACTTTGTAGAATGTGGAAGAAACCGCAGTGAATCCTTCACTAAAGGGGGAAATAACGTGTGTGAATGGGGAGCCTCAGGTCTCTGAAAAGGGTTTTTAAAATCCTCTGTTTTGTAAGGCAAACAGTCTCAGAACTGGAGTTACTTCAGGCTGACAGAGCAGCCAATAGCAGGAACTGGAGACAGGAATTTGGGCTCGGAGTTAGGAGTGCAGTGGGGATCATTAGGACAGTCACAGCATGTAACTGCAGAAATGTAGAAATGTCTCTTGCAGAACAGTGATTATTCTCCAAGCACTCACCTTGTACAGACACTGCATCACTTGCCTGTGCACATCCTGTGGTTGCTTTTCATTTGGGTTCTTTCAAAATGTACAGCAGCACTGGTATGGTGACTGCATTCTGAGTGCTATTTATTCAGAATCACCATTTCAACTGGCATCTAATCAAAAATCTTTATTCTCTGATGCAAAATGCATTTTAAACAAATAATAATCTTTCAACTTTGAGTTCCTGGTAAAATATCTTATATTAATGAATTTATAAATAGCAAGTGCCAGTTCTATGCCAATTCGAACAGCACAGAAAAGAAGACACTGTGAAGGAAAACACACCAGGTTTTTGTTACCCAATTTTGTTGTTTGTAATATAAATGCTTGTGAGAAAGATAATTCTGATTTCATAGTTCTTTAGCTTAAATATGTTGTCATTTAAGCCTCTACTCTTATTCCTCCAGGAAGCCAGGAAAGCATCTGCAGGCACAGAGCCAGGGGGGCAGGAGCTGTGCCAGACCTGTTTCCATGCCTTGCTGTGGCGACCGGGTATCAAATCCAGTCGCATTTTTGCGTGTGCAGTTCTGAAAGCACCACCCAGAGTAACAGGAGGCTGTTGCCAAAGAACCAGTTCATCTGAAAACAACACTCCAAAGCCGAGCTGGCTTCAGCTCCCTGACCAAGTTCAGTCAGCTGAGGAGGAGTTGCTGTGCAGCCCCCTGTGCTCACCGAGAGCTGCCCAAGGGACGACACCAAATGAGAGTTGGGTTGAAGCACAGGAGACATGTAAATATACTGGCACCTTGTTTGCACATTTTGGTGCTGGGTCTATGATTTTTATACAGAATTAAAATTTTCTTGACTTTTGCTGCATTTCTGAAGTCGTTTCATTTCGTTTTGAAGCATTTGCTGGTGTGTGCACTGAGTTTACTAACACTGTCCTGACCCTGGAGATGGTGTGGTATTTTATGGTGTGCAGTGACATTTATGTGCCCAACTTGGCTCCCATAAATAGGGTAATTACCACAAATTAAAGGCCAGGTTTGAAACATTACAAGGTGATGTAACAATTCTGTATTGGCCTTTAGGATTCTCAGTGGGGCTGATGACTGGGCAGTCCTTTGTCAGCTGCAAATCCACAACTTCTACACAATTTTTTCAGGTATAGTGGTAAAACTGAAAGTGCTGAGAAAAGAAACATTGAGGTTTATAGTTTCACATAACATCAAAACATTGAATACATGGAGCACTTAACAACTGACATATTTATGCTAGAGGAATGAGTTCCAGTTGTAGACAATACTCCTTGCACATCCCAAATTAGGCTGTATCAAAGTATGTCCTGAAGTAAAGGTACCTTAAAATGGTAGAATGTATAATAAAAACCCCCTTGTTGTTAGTACAGAGTTAATATTCCAAAATCTCTAACTGCAGATGCTGGACAAAGAATTTATTTTGGTTTTCAAAATCTAACCATGGTTCATTTGGATTTCTCTTCATACAAACATCCACTGGATATCAGGTGCCAGCTTTGGTTATTTAATACAACTCTTGGAAAACCAGTAGTCTTGAAGTTCCCCTTTCATTTGGCCTGAATTAATGTAATTTTGTTGTTACTAAATTACATACCAATCATTATTATACCTGTTTATATAAATCAGATAATAAGAGGATCTTAGGACCTTAAAATAAACTGAAGAACCACATGATTAAAATAAGCAAGAGATACAAACCTGGCAATGACAAGAAAGCACACATTTAAAATACTGTTCTTACGATGATCTTGGCTGTTCAAAGAACAGTTTACACAGGTTATAGTTAGTAGCTAAACTGCAATTTAGCTTAAATTTCCAGAGTCTGATTCCAAGTTATTCTTTATTCTGGTTTTTAAGTAATGTGTCTGAAGTTACTCCTGCTATGTGTTCTCATTCTTGGGTAATCCTTCCAAAGGATATGAGTCACTTCTCCATTATTTGTAAAGAATATGGAAAAAGTAAAATATTATTATTTTGTGGGCATTTGGAACTGGATTAAAAAAAAAAAAAAGGTGGGATGTTGATCATTGTGAGTCATTTCTTGGGAAGAAGGGAAGAACAAACACTGGCTGCTGACTTACTGCTATGAAAGCCAAGCACTTAGTGCTGACTCAAGAGGTAGCTATTGATGGCTGCAGAACACAACGGAGATCCTGCAGCAGGATTAAAAAGCAAAGTCTTTCCTCTTTAAGTAGTAAGGAGTTAGAAGGAGCTGCCTGTGTTGACTTCTTGGAGGCTCCTTTTAGTTTAAGCAACCTTCGAGTTTAAACATGTTGGCCAATTAGAATTACATCCTGCTGCAACGCAGTCTCCTTCAGGTTTCCAAAAATCCTGGCAAACCTGCAGGGAATGAAGTGCAAGACTGATCTCCACAGCACGGGGGAGCTACACCAGTAACTCCCAGTGCAATCCTCTGCTGTTCCTGAGCATTGATCTGTCCTGGTTGGGACAAATATTGGTACACACAAAACTGAAGTGACATAAATGCCTCGTAACCCATTTGCATTCTGATCAACTAATTTGAAAAAACCCCTGATTTGATACCAAAACTGATTTTTCAAAGTGACTTCATGTCACTGTGGCCCTTGCAAACTATATTTGTGTACTGGGAACTACTCAATTACTTATGTGTGTAACTACACAGAATACCTGCAAAGAGCACACAATACAAACCCCAGTGTATTTTATAATTATGACTTAACTACACTTATGGTTTGTGTGCTTTTTTCGAGCTCCAGTGGACACACAGTGATGAAGCCTAGTAATTGTTTTTTTTCTGCAGGTGTTTTTTGTTTGTTTGCTGTGTTTTGTTTTTTAATGAGGAAAGCTTCTTTCCAAATGCAAGGATGCAGTCCCGTGGCAGCTTGAGCCGACTGAAGTCACGCCTGACACCCTCCTCTGCATCTTCTCATCCTCTCTGTACAGAAGAGATGGTTTTGTGCCAGCACAGGCACCTGAGAACTCAACAGTGGCCAGGTCAGTGCTCATGGAAAATTAATTCTAAACACAGATTCCAGCAGTGGTAAGTGATGAATTGGGAATGAGCAGTACAGTTGGATTGTCAGGAACACAGCAGTCTGTATTTATATTTGAAGGATGCTGTGAAACTGAGTAGGAGTAGAGGATCTCATGGAGAAACAATTATAAAAATTTGCTCTGTCATTCCAACTTCCAATAAGTATTTTTAAATTATAGTCTTATTAATGCAAATAAAAATAGTACCTGCTTTGTGATCTGTATCTGAGTGTATTCGTTGTTATTTTGCAGTAAACCTGAAGCTGAGTTAACAGCTTGGATGCCACAGGTTTCAAATAATCACTAACAAGCAAAGTGCTCCATGAAAATACATTTACCAAAATGATTGTGGATGTTTACATAAATCACGTGTAAAGCATAAATATTCAACAGTCCACCAGTCCACTGTGGGATGTGTAGCCAGGACTGCAAATGGATCTGTGTGCCTAATCTTTGTTTCCTGTCAGTGGGAGGCCCCCGGGGTCAGTTCAGACTCCTGCAGAGGGCTCCTTTGCAGCTCCGGATCTGATGATCGATCTCCAGCTCCAGCCCTGGCACAGCTGATCTCCAGCCAATGAATCCCTGCGTAGTTTTAGGCACTGGAGGAGATGGAAGCACCTAAAATAAAAGGGACATGTAAAGCTGAATGATGAAAGGGTTTGAGATGGTAATGGCTGTCATGCGACATCATCTTTTGTGCCGTCACGTGGATGGAAATGAGAACGTATAAAAAATAGTGGTTCCAAATGTAGTTTGCTGAGTTAATATCCTGAAAACATTGACATTAATGAAAGGAAACAAGGACTTTGAAAGACAGCCCAGGTGCATGCAAGTTTGATTTATAACACATGATAGTTTATAATTTAATTAGAATAATTTAGGTGCCATTCTACAGCAAGACACAGGGAAAGAGAGAAGTACAAGGGCCAAATTCCAATGAAGCAACTACCTTTCATTTACCACCCTTCTAACACCAAAAAGCAAATTGTTGTTTAGTAGTGTATGTTACCATTCTTTTTTTTTAAAGTTTGGTTCAATCCTAAGGGCTTTAGTGGTTTTATATTCTTAGGAGAAGAATTTTATCTTTGTCTTTAGCTTTTTTTCCATACAGAATCATCATCATCATTATCATCATCATCATCTTTAAAACTAATTAACTTCTCTAAACAGGAGAAATGGTGTTTACTAGTTGCTGTAATATATTTGGTAGCAATGCAGCCACGGAATAATAACTTTATGTCCAAATGCTAAAGATGTTTCTGACCAAGCTGGCTTTTGCATCAAGAACTACTTACTCATTCCACCTTCTTTCTACTTGAAAAGATGGGTAAGGAGCAAGTTAATCTGCAACTAATCTAGCTAAGGAGGAAACCAAACAAAAGCCAGCAGTGTCTGTTCAGTGACTGCTGTGCTTACTTTGGCTGAATCATCTCTGTTGGGCACGTTCTATCATTTTAGCATCTGGGGACTCAGTAGAGCAATACACAGCAAGAGAACAATGTTTCAGTTCTCTTGCCAGAGTTGCTTCACTTTGTTCTTTGGCCAAGATTAGAAAACGTTTATGATATTTAGGTGGAGCAGTTCCTCAAAAAAGATAATTTTTTATGGCCAAAAGTGCCACCCACCGAGCAGGATAACAAAGGGAATCATGTCCCACTTTCGATCTGGGGGAAGGGACTATGAAAAAGCTTTTACTAATCTGACCTAGAGAGGAGAAGAGAGATGACTATTGCTATGGAGGTAAATGTGCAGAAAGACATATAGTTCTGAAAAAGGAGGTGAGAAACTTCACCCTGAACATGTAAACACAGCTAACCCTGATCTTCCTCCAAATCCCGAGGCGAATGAAGCTCTGATCCCTGTTTCAGAGTGCCCCAGGCTCTGCCCGCTGCTGGAGCCGCTCACAGCTGGGTGACTGTCAACACCCCAACCCCCTCACTGCTGAAACGGGGCTGAAACTGTAACTTCACTAAAATTGGTCTTTGAGAGTCTCCAAATTGAACAAGTAGCACTGATGGCAGAAGTGATGCCATTTCATTGCTTTGCCACACTCAGCACTAGCACTTAATTTTTGTTTCAGTTTAATCTCAGTAAAAGCTTTTACAACTTCCTTGCCTTATCTTCCCACCCTTGGAATCCTTTGAAAGAAAGCTGGTTCAGCAAGTAAGAATTTCCAGTCTCCTTTGTTTCCTTAATCTTCTCCAAGTGGACTAACCTTTTTTGTTAGCACCTCCTTACCCTTCTATGAATATATTCCTCTCCCAGTGTCACTGCTTTAGCTGCCTGTATAGTTACCCTATTCATTGGTGATTCTCACACAGTATATTTAGAAATTAAACCTTCACATTCTACTGTCCTTTCCAGCTGTTTGATAATGTCAAGACACCGAACATATATATAAATCATATAATATAAAATAACTATTACTTTGCACATTAGAACTGGCTTCCTATTAATTTGTGCCACTAAAGAGGACAGTGGCACTGTCTGTGCCAGCAAGAAGACTCTCTTAAATAAAGGTAGAAATATTACAACCATATCCAAAGGGCAATTCCTTGTCTTAAACAAATGCTTTTAAAGCATTGCTTGGGTTGCAAATGCAGTTTACTCTGACCTTTAGTTAGAGACCCACCTCTACAAGACAACTGGTTTTTAGAGTTTGTGTGATTTTTTACAAGAGATATTGTTGTATTACAATTTAAAATGTAATTTTCTAACCTTAATGTATTTTTCCACAGGTGTCACAGGGCGAATCCGCATGTGTTCTGGAAGCTCTATCTTGGGCTTTGCATCTTTTTTTTCATCTCCTATCAACTA